CACAGAAAACAAACTGTTTCTGTCAATAGGACATCGGTATAGCAGACTGCAGTTAGGTCTATGTGCAGTCGATTGGAAGATGAGAACGTCAACTGAGCATTTATTGAGTAGATAGCTAACCATTTCTTTGAACGTGACAATAATTCTCGTCCTGACAAAACTTTGCGTGGTATTCAGTCTGCTTTAATCACAGCAGTAAGTACAGTTGGTAAACTACATGCAAAGGTTAACAAACGTCATTGAATTTCCATAAAGTCTTGCGACCTCATTCCAGCAGACTCTGCCCCAAATGAAGAGCGAAGACAAGTTAAAGGTATATCTTCCAAGAATCTTCACAATGGTCGTGAGAAGTGGTGGGTGGTAAAAGTGAGAGAAATGGAGAAGGCGTCAGTATTAGGTCATACCCGGCAATTATTTATGCTGATTAAGGATACTGGCAACAAGATGAAGATGGTTAGTGAAACCATCACCAAAAAGGGTGAGACGCTGATAACCTCCCACCACAGACGACTAGAACGTTGAGCAGAAGATTATAAAGTGCAGTTTCGCTGACCCACAGTTGCCCAGCGTCGAGCCTAAACCTCGATTTGAGGCAGGCGTCGGTGCTCCAACTCCTGTTGATGTTGAAAGGACTAGGTCGATGCTGAAACGTTCCAAAGCACCAATGTTTGGCAGTGTAACACTGGAATGTTTCACGGGTGAAGGTAGGGAATCAATGAGTAAGGTAATAAAGGTATAGCGTAATCCCGTCAGATTGGTCTACTTCACTGAACATTCCAGTGTATAAGAAGGGAGAGAAGTCTTCCTGTGACAACCTTAGGTTAATTCGTTTTAATAATATTGTGTCCAAGAACGTAGGGTCCATGGTTATTCACCGACTAGCTGGAGATTGAGAACACCAGACACGTTCCAGACCCGGAAGACAGTGGATCTGTCATATCTTCACCCTTTGGCAGGTTTTCGGAACACGGGTATGTACACCTACCGGCGCCCGACACCTGCCATATTTATTGACATAAAAACGGTATTTAACTCTCTTAGTCTAAGGATGTTTCAGTAGTATCCCATTATGAAGCGAGTACTGAAGGAGTATATTGTCCCAATCAAAGCTCGCTGCTTCAATCCATACGATAATTTGAAGTGTAACGGGAGTTCTCCTGTGAAGTAACAAAAACCTATGGTGTTTGATAAGAATACCTGTTTCTGCCGTTCCTGTTCTACTTCGTTGTATTTATATCAGCAAACATATTCTCAGGTACCTCTGACTTTACAGGGATTGATCTACTTCCATTGGGCTTCTAGTTAACTCAGATTAGGCAAATGAAATTGTTCCGTCAGTTGAAGACGCTGACAAAACCCAAGGTCTTGTCATCGCCTTGAACTAGAGTCTGAGTATTTTTGACATGCGTTACGCATCTGCCAAATGTAAAATAGTACCACAGAGCTAGTATACAATTACTTCCTGTTTAAGTATTTGGAGTGAAGTGGCGGAATGTGTTGACCACTTCACTGACTTGGGATTTCAATCAGTTCTTGTGTGTTAGGTGGCGATGAAATGGCAGCCAGACTACGTAAACCCTGTCTGAAATTTCCCCACTCACACCATCTCTGACATCGGCGATTTGTCCGACTACCTATTAAACTACGAAATTACTACACGAAAGTCCACTCATTCCTAATGTATGACTGTGAAACGTGGCCATTGAAAGTAGGAGATGGAGATATGACAAGATCACAAGTTTTTGAGTACTGGTGTCTTCACATCATTGCTCAGCTATGTTGAAATCATCGTGGTAGAATTTTCGAAGTAAAACTTTGGTGTAAAAAGTTAAGAATACAGGTCAGTCGATGAGGTAAACTTTCTTTGACTTTAGTGGCTCAGATACTTGTTGCGCATGCCGTGACACCAACTATTTCGATGTACAATACTGGCTAAAGTCGGACTGGCTTAGACGAAGACCGTGATTGGTAAAACAAAGATGAGAAACTGATCCTATCTTAGCTGGCTAAGGAGTTGTAGATAGTCTGTCTGAAGTTGTCGAGTTCATGATGATCAATAGTTCATAATTCTCGGTGATATAACTGAAAATCGTTTACAATGATGCATATATTTTAACTTTTTACTAAAATCGTCTACTTTGATTTGTTTGTAAAGATTTCTTAGGTTGTAGACCATTGGAAAGATTCTTATGAAATGATGTCATGCCTGTTCATGTTCTTCATAAGTTGAAGCTCATCCATGTTTAATTAGAAAAAAAAATTTTCATAAATTTTTACAGGATGCTGACTACCATACAGGCTCCTGTCCCTGTCCACCCAAAGCAAGCAAAATATTAAGCCGCAATATCCTGGAGAGATTAAAGGATGCGCTATATTCAAAACTACTACCGGAACAGGCTGGCTGGCTTCAGGAAGAACAAATCATGTGCGGACCAAATTGCAACGCTACACTACGCATCATCATAGAACAGAGTATAGAATGGCAGTCAACTTAACTCTGCTTGAACTTCGTCGATTTCGCAAAGGCCTACGACAGCGTCGACCAAGAAGTAATTTGCCAGGCAGCTGCTTCAACACTACGGTTTTAGTCCCACAAACGTTTGTCAACCTCATTCAATAGCTATGTGAAGACGCCACATGCCAGGTGATCCACAACGGAAAGCTTAGCGACGCCTTTGAAATGAAGACAGGAGTAAGACAAGGTTTCCTACTATCTTCCCGATTGTGGCTGACTGAACTGGATCATGCAAAAAACCGTGAGGGGCGAGAAGAGGGGGATACGCTGGAACGCGGAAAAGAATCTAGAAGATTCAGATTTCGCCGATGACTTGTGTCTAATGTTACACAAATTTGAAGATCTACAGGCGAAAACAAACAAGTTGACGGAAGAGGCAGGGCAGCGAGGACAGGACTTCAAGTGAATGTAGAGAAGACAGAGGTGATGAAGATACCCAACCAACACCACCAACAACAGCAAGCTCCAGTCACCATCAACAGGAGAAAGTTAAAGGAAGTAGCCTCCTTCACCTATCTAGGCAGCACAAAGTCAACTAGAGGCGGTACGCACGAGGAGGTCAAAGTCAGGATTGGAAAAGCAAGGCAGGAGTTCATAAACTTAAAACCAGTGTGGAGATCTTCTGCACTCAGCATGTGGAACAAGATCCGGATTTTCAACACCAATGTCTAGTCAGTGCTTCTGTGTGGTTCAGAGACTTGGCGCGTTACGAAAGGGATTTTTAACAAACTACAGACACTCATCAATAGCTGCCTACGCTGGCTCGTAACTGAAGCTCAGATGACCAGAATAACAAGAATAAGCAACAAGGAACTCTGGCTGGCTGGCAACGAACCAACCAAGAATCTATCGCTGAACAAATATGCAGTGGAAGGAAGTGGAGATGGATTGGGCATACACTGAGAAGGCCGATTCGGGACATCACGAGCCAGATCAGGCCCTCGAGTGGAACCCAGATAGGAAGCGACGAGTTGGGCGTCCGAGGCGAGGTGAGGGTGACATGGAGGAGATCGTGCGAAGAAGAAATGAGAGCTTATGGGCAGTCGTGGAGTCAGGTTCAAAAGATTTTAGAGAACAGAATGCACTTGAGACGTGCTACTGAAGCCCTATGTTCTATTAAGAACCCAAGGCACAAATACTAATAATAAATATAGGTTAGTTTTAATATAACCTCCTGTTAATTGTTAGGGTTTCCGACCGTGAACATTGACACGCGTATCATGAACTTCGGCAATGATGCCAATCTGCGAAATACAAAGTGCATCAAAACTCACACCCACAGTATCGTGACATGCAAATCGAACCTACCTGAGATTCAGTCAACCTAGTTGCATCAGATCGAGCAATCTACACCAGCAACATTCGGTATAAATGAGAAGTTGAGATGAAATTGCTTCACATTATATACCAGTCAACTTCTCATCAATGAATTTGACCTGCTGACTGACATGAATTCCTCACATTCCCCACACTTAGGTTGATTAATTGAGGATGCGTTGAATTTCTAACCAAATCTAGCTGTTATCTCGATTGATCAATTACGTCGTACTGTGGTTGATGTGAAAACACAAGTGGGTGACCACCGACCAATTTATGGACTGGATTACAACCAGCAAGAATAAATCAGGAAATAACGTTCTCACAGCCGATTGCTGCAAAATCTGGACTGCTGTAATGGTGCACAAAGCCATCTTCAGTCCTACAGATTTCTCCATTCAGGCGAAATTGAACATAAATATCAGCACATAACCAATTGCTTTGCTTCCTCGCGAATTTCTGAAGAGGATATCCACACTGAAGCTGTTGCTCACAGACCAATTCATTTTGAACGTGAAATGTTGAGGTACTTTTGTTGATGGCTGCCCTAACAGAGAGGCTTGTAATAAACTGACGGAACATATCGAAGCATAAGAAAAAGTTGACTTGGCATGCAATACTGTAAGTTTAAGTTTTCTTTTCCAAATAATTTACTAAGCCAATGATCGCTCTCTAGACGATTTCCATGCAATGGTGTAGAAGCTATTCATATTCATTAGTAAAAAGCCATTGTACTGAGTACTAGTGTTTGGGTTTCATTGTACAAGGATTTAAACTGCTGTCTGAAACCACATTTGACCGCTATCGTTAACTTATTTTGAATAATCCACTTCGCACATATTTGTTTCTATGTTTATGCTTGTAAATTGCCGTTCTCTCTAGTTAACATATTTGATGAGCGGATTTATGTGTTAGATTGCTTCAAAGCATCAAATTATGTTATTTTTCGCATATTATTTTCTTCCCACTTTTTGGCAGCCAATAATACAGTAGTATTCATGAAATAACATCTCCTGTGAGATGTTGTGCTAGACTATAATATACAATTTCGGTTTCGAAATCAACACATTATTTCGAAATAATCGGTTTGCTTGTCGCTTTTGAGTATGTTGTTTGCTATCGTCTCCCACTTACGCTGTTCTATTATTTGTAATTATTTTCTCAACAGGTCGAAAGATCACTTCGCCACAAACAACCAATCCCACTAACGCAATACCCATTCCCGTTAAACCGATATCTGCAGTAAGACCAACTCCCCATTCTTTTGCCAATCTCCATGTCAATCCTTCAAATATTGTGAAAAAAGTCGATCAACAAAAGCCAAAAGGGAATCTTCAACAAGTGAATCCTGAAGACAACTCTTCAAAACAAATTGCTGACACTGCAAGTGAAGATGTAAACAGTGGTAATGCAGAAAGCAATGTAATATCGAAATATCAGAATGATGATTATTCATCAGTCAAACAACCTCCTGGTATGTGGATTGTGAGAGAAGAATTAAGTGTGATAGTAGATGATTTTGACTAGCTATAAAAATCAGATGATAATATGAAATGATAGTGGAGAATAACTGGATTCTGTTCTGCTCGAAAGTATTTACCATATTTTGCACTGCTTTTCTTAGTCAATATTTCAAAATTGTACAACAGCATTTTTGAGCTTCACTCGGTATACTACTGTAGTATGTAAAAGTAGCTTCCAACTATCTGATTGCATTTCTACTGTGTTTTTATTTCTTGCACACACCATTGCTTCGGTGTAAACAGATAATGAATCACAAGTTCAACAATTTCTCTGTCTTTGTTGTTGTCAATCCCGTGATTGAAAGTTAGTTTGACATCGAATTATTTCGTTGCTTTGAATTACTGTACATTTTCACCTTGTAGAACTGGTGTATTTATTCAAATGGAAGCTTATTTGATATTAATTGAACAAAAATGTCTTCTGGCACCTCCGTTCACTTCTGATAACCGACGTGAAATAGTGAAAGTGACGAGGAGACAAGTGACATTCTCATCTGCTGATAATATCTCCTTTCTGTGAACACCCTTTATTTACTTTTATATTTTGTCGGCTTCATATTACAGCCTAATTTATCCGTGTTTTACTTGTCTTATTTGCGAATAGTTTGTGCGATTACTTGTGAGTAAGATAGTGCTTCTATCTCTTTTGTGCCTTTGCATGGTACAAACTATTACTGGTTTGTATAATTATGTGTTCACGGAAAGTAAAAGCGCAGGTATGTGAGTGGTTGTGTATGTTCACATAATCTCAATGTTATCATGATGCAAGTGTTGAATGTTGTGAAACAACAATCGTAAATTCAGCGGAAGGTCAAGAATCATTCAGAAACTGTTTTCGGAAATAGACGATATGTCCCGGTTGAAGTTGTTTGACTGATTCCTCTGGAATCCTTCTCTGTCATGGCATTTGTTAATTTTATTCATGATTTATGTATTCATCCCTGAGTTGACTGATAGTCATTTTCATAATAAATGAATCCGGTTTACTGTTTTATTTTGCTACTTATCTGCTTCTGATTGTGTGCTGCATGGATTATGCAAATGTGTCATACATTAGTAATATTATTGTTTATTTACTTGACTGATATATGCATCAAATTATGAAATATCAATCCCAAGGAGACTTCGTTGCTACTGTGACTTCTCTTTTCTTTTGCCTTTACTGATTGATCCGCTTTCCTCTTCTGTGCTTTATCCTTTCCATTGCTTTTGTTGTTTCTTGCAAATTCACCTATTTTACTTATGAATTTGTCAACTATGTTTACCTGCATATATGTTGTAAAATAACAACCAAAGTATACTGATTATTTCAAACAATATTTGGTCTTCTACTTGGTCACTTCTTAGAAGGTGATTATGCTGAAGGTGATTCTAATCATACATAGAGGTTACTCAGCACACCACAGGAATTGAGTGGGAAATATATAGTCAAGTGTTTGAGGTTTGCATTCTGTCAGAGTTGATTGTCCTGGAGTCTTCTGAAGGTAGGTTTTACAGATTCAATTTTGTGTGATTTTGTGATGCATGTTACTGTTTTTAATCCGTTGTAATTTCCAGGTTGTATGAACTGTTTAACTTTGAAGAATATCAGACGCCTAATTGGTATCCAGCAGTTCAACAGAATTAAATATTTCATGTGAGTTGCATTTTTTAAGAAAGATGAGGTTTCATATTGTCTTATGATGATGAATGCTTCAAAATACGTGTATTTGTTTGGCTTACATTCACTTTCGCCTTGATTTATGTCTATTGAAATCAGTCTGGAACGGCTAATATGCACTTGTAAGAGTAATGGCAATTTTCTTAATTTTATCGCCAAACGAATCACTGATAGTGACGTTTTTACCTGGCATGTGTTATTTCCAGACTGTCGATAGATTATTATTGTTTTTAATTTGCAAGAAGTGGAAATTGAATTCTAAGCTGCGTCGGAAGAATGTGAATCGTAATTGTAATGTCACATGTACTCAAATAGAATATTCCGTGTGTGTTCCAGCGCTGTGATAATATATAGCTGAGATATTGCATATGAGGCAATTGTTGGCCATATTTGGGAAATGTTCAAACTATTTTCACAAACTTAGTGTATGCCTTTATCAAATATTCTTGGATGGTGTGTTAGTTGAATGAGTGGGATTTTCTGTTTTTAGCCTCGCACTACGTGTCCCTTGTCTGACATATAACGACTCATTGCACATATACTGTATACACTTCAATCAGCACAGTAGTCCAGACAGAATTACTGTTTGTCATTCGTCGATGGATTGGTGGATACAGTCAGTCGTTCAGCAGGTCAGTTGTAATATTTTTGATCTAATGACGACGTTTTTGATTAGCGATGATATACATGAGACCCTTGTCATACGTGTTTACCTACTGGTAGATTCTTAGTGTCTAACAGCACATCGAGTTTCTTACTGGTAATTGATTGCGTATAGAAGACTGAAGTGAATTTCGATAGCTCATCATCTTTCTAATTGACAATAGAGTTTCTTGGCATGGATATTCATAATGATCAATGTCAAAGTGCCATGATTTTCAGTTCAATTCAAAAACTGGTTGTGAATGAAATTGTGCTTATTGTAATCACTTGAAGTTATGAGTGCCTCCGTTAGAAAGGCTGTTTTCTTGGTTCGAAAAGCAAGGATAGTGGAGAAGATACTCGTCCCGACCGATAGCTGCTACCTTGACGTGGTTGTCGGGCTTGCATATCACAATGACCCAACGAGCTATGCTGGTGGAACGCTTGTTCCCTCGAGGTCCTACCATACCAGAAAGGTCTGTTGGGTAGTGGTTAGACGAAAAGCAGTTACCGTTATAGTGTAAATTGCTACACTATGATGGGGGTCTGAGGGCGAAGTCGTACTGCTGCTAGCTGGATGGGGTGTGACAGCAGTAAGGTGTTTCCCTTGGATGACCAGCAGTGCCATGCTGATGCTGCCTTCTCAGTGGAAGGGGGGGTTAGAAAAGGTCGGCCCCAAAAATAACACACTCCACCACGCCCCACGGTCTGCCGGGCCGGCGGTGTTGGTTCACTTGTCGTTTCCTTTCGACCATCCGGCCCCAAAACAACAAAAGTTCAAAATAATCATACTCAAAAGGCTGGGTGTGACAGGCCTCAAGCAGATGTCCGATGGGCTCTGCGGTCACACAAATCTCTTTCAGGTACCTTAAGAAGAAATAGCCTTCCACGGTGTGGGCAGCCGGGAAGTGTCAACCGCCCTCACAACTCTGTCAGCACCCAAGTTTCTTCTGACTGCTATCCTCCTCCTCCATCATTACCTTCTAATCTTCCTTCACGTCTCTTAATTAATGATGCTGCATCATCTTCAATTTCTCCTAGCTCTGCGATCTGAGTCCACAGAACAGCATCCCTGGTCTCCTTAAACCACGCTCCAAATTACATATTGGAGCCTTCAATGTCCGCACCCTCCGTCAAATTGGCCAACAGGCTTCGTTGGCAAAGACTCTAGCAACTCGGGCATGGATGTGTGCTGTGTTTGTGAGACACGCATACAGGACCCAAGTGTGGTTATTCACCTGACCTCTCCTGACCAATCTGGTGAATCTGCAAAATTCACCCTTCGAGTTTCTGGAGATTCGATAGCTAGCTCTCGTGGTCTTGCAGGTGTAGGTATAGCATTAAGCACCAGGGCAGAAAACTCACTACTAGACTGGATCCCAGTTGATAGTCGCCTCTGCGCTATGAGGCTGAACGGCACAGTGAGAACTAAAAGGAATAGTGAGACTCGCCGTTGTCTCTTTGTAATCTCTGCTTACGCACCCACTGACTGTAGTTCGGATGAAGTGAAGGACGAGTTCTACCATAAACTGTCTAACCTCCTCTCGAAAGCCAAACGTTCGGACGTAGTGGTTGTTGCAGGTGACCTCAACGCACAGGTGGGTAGACTGAGTGAGGCAGAAAGGCACTTAGGTGGCACTTTCGGAATCCCAGCTGAACGTACAGATAACGGTGATCGCCTATTACAACTATGCTCAGATAACCGCCTATTTTTAGCCAGCACAAATTTCAGACATAAAGAAAGGCACTGTCTGACCTGGCGTCCACCGAGCTCGACTCAGCGATGGACACAGATAGACCACATTGCTATTAGTCATCGCTGGAGAGGATCGGTGGAAGACTGCCGCTCCTTCTGGAGTACGTGTTTGGACAGCGATCATGCGTTGGTCCGAGCACGTATATGCCTGCGTCTCAATGGACGTAGAAAAAATTTGGCAACAAAACCACTACGAGTTCTGCTGGACAACGAAAACACCAAAGCCGTGTTCAGTGAGAAGTTGGCTAGGCAGTTATCGGAACAAAAGACTGTCACTCATCCAGAAGAAGCTTGGTGCCATCTTCAGTCTACTGTAAAAGCAGCACTGGAGACTGTAGCCGACTCCAAGATAATGGCTAAAAAGAGCCAGTGGATATCAGCAGCTTCTTCCAAACTAATGGATGCACGTGAATGCATCCCTGCAGGCTCTGAGTACAATGAAGAGCGAGCGCAACTTAAAAATAAACTGACGAAAAGTCTGCGCAACGATCGTGAACAGTGGTGGGCAGCAAGGCTAAAGAGATGGAAAAGGCAGCGGCGATCGGTAACAGTAGACAGTTATTTAGACTTATTAAGGAGACTGGGGGGAAATGGTCAACAACAGTTAGTGAGGTTATAGCGGAGAAGGACGGATCTGCGATTCACTCGCAGGGGAGGCGACTGGGACGATGGGCAGAACACTTTGAGGAACAGTTTACCTGGCCTCCAGCCACCATTGCGTTGCCCGCTATCCAGTCGGACCCTGAATGGGACATAGAGACAGGTCCCCCAACACTAGAAGAAGTTGAGAAAGCGGTAGGTAGCCTGAAACGAGGAAGGCAGCAGGACCAGACGGACTACCTGCTGAGGTATACAAGAATGGTGGTAGAGTGCTCTTAGTCAGGCTAACGGAAGTGTTAGCCAGTATATGGGAATCAAATACGATCCCCTCCGACTGGTCTAAGTC